GGAGTTAGAATTTAAACATTTTATGATAACTTTAAAAACACATTTMTTTTATTTAGAACAAGGTGGCTCTCCTTCCTTATAGGTCTACATCTCCTCCAAATGGATCAAATCAAATATACAGCAGGACGTACGTATACTGTTGCAACATTTAAAAACAAAGAAAAAAAGACTTTCTTTCAACTTGTATAAATTTCTTAAACATGGAACTGAAACTTTTCACTTGAAATGTAAACTGTAACAATGGAGTATCAATACCAGTATTGGTTATTTTGTACAAATGTGAGTACTTGTAATATCGGGCCCAACAGCAATACCAGCATCAGTGTCGGGACACCTCTTATAACAACACCACTGTATCAGTTTAAACTCACTAAAACTCGATTATGAGGCTGTTTTACCTGTGAGTGTGTGCTGTGGTGGAACAARCTGTGGTTTTCTGGTTCTGTCTTTATCTGCCGAGGCTCCTCTGTTGTGGAGGTGGTTGTGGAGGAGGAGGAGGAGGAGGAGCGGGGAGTGTTGCTCGGTGTGACTGGAGTTCCCTCACCACCCAGTGGTCCTGCATGGTAAAGCATGTAAAACGAGCCCTTGATACTATTTGATATTTTTATTAGAAAAGTATCTCCATGTAGTCTTAACACAACCAAACTGAATGCTATGGTTTTAGGACATTTAGTCACACCAGTGCTCACATGTGGATTTAAAACTCACCAGTTTGAGACTTGTTCAGGTTTTTGGGCTTGCGTTTACGAGTTTGGATTCCCTCTTTTTTCATGGCCAGAGGTCGGGGGACCTGTTCAGACAAGAAGAGACATCGGTCCTAATCCRGAGTAGATTTGCACCAAGTGAAACAAGTCCACTCTTCAGATTTTCAAAGTGGTTCAGGCAGATGCTATTTTCTAAACATTTGTGTCTTTGCATTGGACAGCTGTTAGCATAGATTTAATTGTTATACTGTGGTTGTACTGTTATATTGTGTTGGTCTATTACCAACAATGTTTTGTGTGGAATCTATGTGCAAAACAGAATTTGTTAAATGTGCACTGCCTGATACAAAAAGTAACATGCAGGGTTTTAGTCGTCACATTTTGGTTGTATTTGTTGAATGTTGTAATTTTTTTCCTAACCAAATTGTAGCGCACCAGGTAAATACACACTCTCAGAAAATTGAGAAATTTAGGTATGTCATATCCTAAAAATGCTAAGTATTTGTAACTGGAAAAAAAATGGGTAAAAATGTAAGGCTTTTCTTAACTGTTGAACTGACGTGGAACAGAAAAGGCGCAGCAAAAAAAAAAATCAAAAGTAAATCAAAGTAAAAGCATTACAATGTGTTTTAGCTCCACAATATCCTGAATCGTTTTACAAAAGTAAATGATTCAATAAATAAAAAATAAATACATAAATAAATAAATAAATAAATAAATAA